CAAAAAGCAGAAGTCTGTTATCAGTTCCCTCCTTCATCTCCGTGGCCTTCACAAAAAGCAGGAGTCTGTTACTTGTTCCTCCAACTTGCACATCAGTAGCTTTCCATGACCTTGCATTGTTAAACTTGTACTTTTCCATGCTCCTCAGAGCTCAGGATAATCATGCAGAACTGCCAGGGCCCCGACACCCTCCCACTGCTCCATTGGTTTTCCTTCTCTAGGAGTCTCTCCTTCAGCTCCATGACTGGAGCCCTGGTTGGGGCTCACTACATTTTCCATGAGGACCAGACCCTGTGCCCACTGGCTGTGAGGGCTCAGCCCTGCTCTGCACCCCTGGGCTCATGGGCATGGTGGGCACAGGGGCCTGTCCTGGTGTTCAGCTGTGTCAGATGAAACTGGTCCCAGTGCTAAAGTGCTTGTCAGCATCTGCACTCCCAGAAGAACCAAGAGAGCAGAAGGCAGTTCCAGAAACCTAAGTTTGTTTTTTCTTTTTCACACTCCCTTCATCTCTCCTGAGGAGTGGATGTCAGAACCCCTCAGCACTTCTGATGCGCTCAGGGAGAACAGAGCAGGTCCTGCCAGGCAGGAGGATTGTCTGGGGCTTAGTGCAGGACCCTGCTCTGCAGGACAGCTTGGGGCAGCCTGGGGGGCACAGCCCGGGTTCCCAGCCCTGCAGGAGCCCTGGCAGAAAGGAACTCTGCTGGGATGTGCCTGGGATGCTACAGCAGGGACTGGGATGTGCCAGCGCTCGCAGATCGTGGCCCAACCTGCAGACACGTTGCCCTTCCTGCTGACTGACCTGACACCAACACCCAGGGAGGAGTCTGCCTAAACTCTGAGGTGTTACTGAGGAGAACAGCAGGTCAAAAGAAATCAATATCCAATTAGCCAAAGAAACAAGCCCAGGGACTTTTTTCGAGAGAAAAATCTGAATTCCCACAAACATGTCATCCTAATACTTTTCATGTTTTCCCACAGTATTTGTGACGCTTTCCTGAGACCTCATAGACGTCTCATTCCAAATGTCCAAGACACAATTAAAGTTTGCATGAGAGAAAATTCATCATGGTTGTTTTCTAATTCACCAACTTCATAATATAATTACACAGAAAAAGGAAATATTCCTATTTTAAACCAAAAGAAATCCCTAAGATACCCACCTTCATTTGAATTGAATGCTTGAACTCAAAGTAACCATTCACATGCAGATTATCCACAGAGCAGCAATGCCTGCTTGTCCCCAAATGTTGTCAAAGATGCAACCTCCTCTTTTGAACTCTCAGCTGTCTCCCTGCTCCAAAGATCAGGGCTGGAGCCCAGGGCAGGCCGGCTTTGCTGCCAGGAACCTGCCAGAGCCCTTCTTAGGTGGTGCCAATCTGGCAGGCAGCGTTTCCCAAAGCTGGAGGAAGCCTGAAAAGGAAGGAAACTTCCCCAAAGCCAGCCAGGCTTTTCTCAGCAGCTGAGCTGCTGCCCAGAGCCTTTGGTTCCCTGCACTCAGGGCCTCCAAGGAGCTGCTGCAGAGTCCCTGGGGAGGCTTTGTCAGGAGGGGCCCTCGGGTGGGCTCCTTAAGGCTTCACGGGCCTGCAGGATTTTTAGAGCAATTTGGGGTTTGCTTTTGGTTTTGCATCTCTGAGAGGTTTGTGCAGCCATGGCCTCCCATTATCTGCTGTAACGAGTCCCTTGAGAGCCCCAGACAGTGACAACCCTCAGTGGGTCATTGATGCTTCAAGGCACTCAGGGTTTATTAAAACACTTCTTTTTGACACTGAGTCTCTGAGAGGTTTGTTCAGTCCTGGCCTCCAATTATCTGTTTTAATTAGTCCCTGGAGAGAATGTCAGTTGTGACACCCACTGAGGCTCATTACTGTTTCAAGGCACTCAAGGTTTATTAGGACACTTCTTTTTGACACTGAGTCTTTGACAGGCTTGTTCAGTCCTGGCCTCCAATTATCTGCTCTAAGGAGTCCCTTGAGAGCCTTTGTCAGGAATGGCCCTCAGTGGGGCTTGTTAAAGCTTCAAAGTACTACAGGTTTGTTAAGATACTTTGCCTTTTCTTTTGACTCTGAGTTTTGAAGAGGTTTGTGCAATCATGGCCTCCAATTCTCTGCTTTAATTAGCCCCTAGGGAGACTTTGTCAGCAGTGACACTCAGTGGGGCTCATTAATGCTTCAAGGTACTCAAGGGTTTTGAAGCAATTTTTCCTTTTGAAAGTGAGTTTTTGAGAGGTTTGTTCAGTCATGGCCTTCAATTATCTGCTCTAATGAGTCCCTTGGCATTCTCTATCAATTGTGACACTCATTGGGGCTCATTGATGCTTCAAGGAACTCAAGGTAAATTTAGTAAGACACTTCTTTTTGACACTGAGTCTGTGAGAGGTTTGTTCAGTCATTGCCTCCAATTCTCTCCTCCACTGAGTCCATGAGGAGCCTGTTTTGGAAATGGTCCTCAGGTGGACTCATTAATGCTTCCAGACACTTTGGGTTTTCCTTCTGACTTTCCCTTATGGACAGGTTTGTACAATCTCCCCTCAGTCCCTGAGGTTCAAGGACTCAGCACCAAAAGCCCCCCGGGGCTCACTCAGATAAAGCAAGTCCTGAC